TCTCTGGTGACCTTGCCAGTTTCCCAGTCAAGAATCAAATGAGGGAAACCCAAAGAATTCCTTTCTAAATAGTTTGGGGGAAATAATGCAAATGTGCTTGTAGTTCTGAACGGTCCTTCTTTATGTCTTTGATTCTGCCGTAGTATATGCAAAATCAGAATGTCCCCGGTAACATTGAACTCACCGTGAATATCTTGACTATGGGCTACTGGCCTACGTACGTGCCTATGGAGGTCCATCTACCGTCAGAGGTAAGACAGTTGTAGTTTTGAAATGGAAGAATTCTCTGATTCTTCAAGGATCAGATAAGGAGAGTAATGCCATAGTTAATAATTAAACTTTGTCAGTGTGGTTATGATTCCCCTTTTTCACTCAGTGAAACTAACAATTCGGAACCGAAGGTGACCACGTAAATCTAATTGGTTTTGTTATAAAATGCCGGTATGGAAATCATTTAGTGAAGTCGGCACTCGGATTAAAAAGTGCAATTATAGGTTCAGCTTGAGTCAAACAAGAAGGAAGTAGAGAAGCCGTTTGTCTGAAATGGTGTAGGGTTCCTACCTGGGCAGGGGGTTGGACTCGATGACCTCCAAGGTCCCTTCCAACTTTATTATTATTATTATTATTATTATTATTATTATTATTATTATTATTATTATTATTATTGAAAAAATAAAATAAGTCAGCAATAGGTTTGTTTTATCTTTAAAATCTGTATTTCCATTCTGTTTAGATGGTGAAGCTGCAGGAAATATTTAAGACTTTTTATCTGGGAAAACACAGTGGCAGGAAACTTCAGTGGCAATCCACATTAGGACACTGTGTATTGAAAGCTGAATTTAAAGAGGTAACCTTTGCTTTGGGGTGATTTTTCCCATACGTGGAAATCATTTTGCAGCTTTGAAAGACGTACCAGAATGTTTTTTAAGCAAACCTTACTTGAGTCCCTAAACTACTCAGCTGCCTTGAACTTTAAATGCTTCACAGATAGTCCTCGACCATAATGGGGACTAGAATTTCTGTTGCTAAGCAAGGCAGTTGCAATGGTCATAAGTGCGAAGACCGGATGTAAGTCACTTTTTCAGTACCAATATAACTGTCATGGCTGGCTGGGGAATTCTGGGAGTTGAAGTCCACACAGAACCAGTGGAACGACTTGCCTCCAGAAGTTATGAATGCTCCAATACTGGATGTTTTTAAGAAGAGATTGGGCAGCCATTTGTTTGAAATGGTATTGGGTTTCCTGCCTGAGCAGGGGGTTGGACTAGAAGACCTCTAAGGTCCCTTCCAGCTCTATTCTATTCTATTCCATTCCATTCTATTCTATTCTATTCTATTAATTCCTATTCTATTAATTCCTTTCCTACTCTATTCTATTCTATTCTATTAATTCCTATTACATTCTATTCTGCATTCTATTCTATTAATTCCTATTCTATTCTTCATTTCTCTATTCTATCCTATTCTATTCTATTCTATTCATCCTCAAGAGAGCAAGGTTGAGAAATGCTGACATAGATTATAAGACCTTTCGTGTCGTGATAATGACAGCAATAATTACAGGTGTTATCTCTGCAAGTACTCTGGCACAGATAATCTTGAAGCAAGTATTTCACCCCATGAGAGGCACCCAACGTGGCTTTGTTCAATTCTTGTTTTCTTCCCGGCAGGGCAAGAAAGAGCTCCAGGTGTCTTTGTTCCAGACCTTAGTGCTACTCATGTTTAACGAAGGCGAAGAATTCAGCTTAGAAGAAATAAAACAAGCAACTGGAATAGGTCAGTATTGGTGGCTGCTTGTGACGTCTGAGCACGCGCAGCTCAGATGCTGACGTGTGCACGCCTCTCCCTCTCTTTCCGTGTGTTTGTCTTCTCTCTGTGTCACAGAGGACGGAGAGCTAAGGCGGACCCTCCAGTCGTTAGCCTGCGGCAAGGCCCGAGTACTGGCGAAAAGTCCCAAAGGCAAAGACGTGGAAGATGGAGACAAATTCACTTGCAATGACGACTTCAGGCATAAGCTGTTCCGGATAAAAATCAATCAGATCCAGATGAAGGAAACGGTAATTTATTTTCCTTTCAGACTTCCTTCAGAAATATTCCTTGGGCACCGGTCTAAAAGAAATAAGATACCCTTAAAACCCAAACACTGGTACTATGAAGCATCCCAAACATAAATGAAGTATAATTTAAATTAATTCACTCTTTTTTCCAACCAGACACCTTCTGAGATTTTTGAATTGTTATCTCCTGGCGCCAGGCTGGGAAAGGCTGCATTAACCTCCTGTTCGCTTTTCAGAGGCCAAACTTTTTGTGTTTTTTTTTCTTTTCTTCCACAGGTAGAAGAACAAGCGAGCACTACAGAGAGAGTCTTCCAGGATCGTCAGTACCAAATTGATGCCGCGATAGTGAGAATCATGAAAATGCGCAAGACACTTACCCACAATCTGCTTGTCTCTGAAGTGTACAACCAGCTGAAATTCCCAGTAAAGGTAGATCACTTACACATGTCTGGGGTTAATTCTTAAGTAGAGGGTATGTTTAAGACACAGCTCTTCATAATTTTGGCTTATCAGCAAATCAACATCATCGTGTTACGTGCTGTTCCCCTTGTTTGTTTATTTTTATCCTGCCTTGATTATTTTTATAAATATCTCAAGGCAGTGAAGATACCTAGTACTCCTTCCTCTTCCTATTTTCTTCACAACAACAACCCTGTGACTGTGAGGTGGGACTGGCACAAAGTCAGCCAGCTGGCTTTCACGCCTAAGGCAGGACTAGAACTCACCGTCTTCCATCTTCTAGCCTGGGCCTTCACCACTGGACCAAACTGGCTCCTACTATGTCCATTGGCTTCTCTTAATAAGTGATGAAACAAAACTAATTCTGAGTTTCATTCAAGCTATGAACGTTTGAGTTGTTATTCTCAGAAGAGATTCTAAAGCTAAGGACAATTTGTTCTGTCTGGCTTTGGCTTCCCCTGATAGGAACAAACCAGAGTTAGGTTGCATTCAGTGAAATTACTACAGATGGAGCTGTCTGACTGCTAGCTGTGCCCATTAGCAAAGATCTAGCCAGACTGGTTAGACTGGCAGAACCAGCATGCAAACTCACTAATAAGCCAGAATTCTGTGCAAATGTAACCATTCTTTGCTTCCTGTAGTACTTTCTTGAAAATCAAACCGTCCGTTACTTTGGCATCCAGGTTAGCTAAATAATTTCCTTGTTTTAGAGTGGCAGGGGCTTTTCTCAAGATAATACCTTTCTATTTCAAATAAAGTCAAAAGTAGTTCTTTACCTAGGTGGACATAAATACATGTCCACATTCTGTAGACATCAAAAGTACGGATACATTTCAGTGTGTAAATCCAGGCCTACCAAAAGAACCAGATAAAATCGGCATACCGATGTGAAATGTGTGCTTCATCGATTCTTTTAAATCTGTTTTTTCCCTTATGCAGAGATTGTTTCTGACTTCTCGTATTGCTTTTCAGCCCGCTGACCTTAAGAAGAGAATAGAATCTTTAATTGACAGAGACTACATGGAAAGAGACAAGGAGAACCCCAATCAGTACAACTACATTGCATAAACACACAATGAGCCTTTTTTTCCTTTTCTGCACACTGATGTTCTTGGTTACTGATGGATAAACGAGCCTGTTGATCCCATTAAATTAACCTTTTTCTACTACCAATGACTGAATGAAAGCAGCCTAATGGGATGATGGGCAAGGGGGGAAAGAAATATAGTCGAGTGGTCTTTTTTCAGTGGCTTTACATGCCTGTTTAAAGAGTAGTATTTACATTTTTACAAAGAATGCTGTTGAACTCTTTGCATGATATTTGGTATGAACTGCAGAAGATTGTAAGCAAGTATCTGGTCTCTTTAATTCCACCCGTTCCTTCAGGTCTAAAGGGACAGTCTCTTTAGCACATCGCTCTCCTCCCATTTTGAAAAAACAAAATGTGTAGCGATTTTATTAAGCAAACGAAGCCCCAAGTTACAACCTTTTTTAAAAAAAAAAACGAGGCTTAAATTGCATGCAAATTTCTAAGCACTATATGAACAATATTGGGTTTGTTTATTGGACAACAAAGCCTGTGTGGATTGGCAGTCTTCAGAATCAAAAGCCACTCTCGTATTCCTAAACATAATAAATTGTTCTGTAGGTGTTTAGAAAGAAAAGCACACCTCTGGATTTTCTAAGGTTGAGAAAAAGACCTGCCTCAAATAGCTTGGATTTGCGGTGCAAATATTACTGGGAAAAGCTAAAGGGAAGTAGGCTGCTACTGCTCTTACTCCCTTCATTCTCAAATGTAAGTACTTTTAAAAATAAAACATTTTCACGATATCGGAGTTAATTGCGGAGGGGGGGGGATTTTTAGAGGCTGGCTATTTCAGAGAAGGAAACTCTTAATTAGTGAACGTCAGGGTGTAATGTGATTGCTGCCTTGGATGTTTTATCCCCCCCCCCCATGCAACATTAAGAGGTTTTATACTTCTGCCAAACTGCACATTTTTTATTATTAGACAAAGAATTGAACAAGTATTTAGAAAACAGCACTCTCCAACCCATCTAGCTACAGTTAGGAAGAGAGTTGTAACCTAATCCAGTGTTTCTCAAACTTGGCAGCTTTTAAGGTATGTGGACTTTGCTGACTGGAGAATTCTGGAAGTTGAAGTCCAACATCTTAAAACTTGACAAGTTTGAAAAACACCGGCCTGAGTAATGCCTCTTCATTTGAGTCCTGCTGGGTTTTGGGGGGGAAAGGGAGGGGGGCATTCCTAGAGAGGCTGGATTGATTCCCAACATAATGGTACCCTTTCCTCACCTGGTTAACTTCCGGTTAGCGTAGGGCTGTAAGTCCCAGAATTCCCTAGCCAGCGGCAGGGAAATTCCAAGAGCTGCTTAGCAGCTCTTCCGATGTCTAGGGTAATCTTCTTTACGTATGAACAATTCTGAGACCATCAGGATGGTATGAAAGATCATCCAAGCGCTGTTTTTAAATCACGGCAGCCTCTTAGTAACCTACCTGCATTGCTTTTTATGACACCAAATCGGTGGGTAGACTGGGTTTGTTTTTTCTGCCAGAAGATCCTGTGTGCGTGCATCGCATCCAAACTCCTGTTTTTATCAGTCTCTTTAAAAAGAGTGTCTCCTTTCTGAACAGATAAATCCAGTGCTAATCATAATTGTAGCCCTTCAGCGCTGAATTGGCAGGTTTTCCATAACTCGTCCAATACTCGTTCAAACTTCTCTCGTTTGAAAATTTCTTCGGATGTTAAGCCGCCTTCTCCCTTCCTGGCACAGACCTCCAGTGCAATACGAAATATTTAGCCATCGATGGCCTCCTTAATCTGGTCATCTAGAAAATGAATATTTCCTGCGTAAGAACGACATTTTAAGTACGAGCGTCTACCCTTCCTATAGGTTAGCAAGCCATCTTGCTGGCACATCTGTGTCTAGGAACTCAGGGAGACCAACATTCATCACAGGAATTGTTTTTGGGTGTTTTTTTTTTTCCTCTCCAATCATAGAGTGATTCTGGGTTTTTTTTTTTCTCCCATAAAGAGACTGTAAGGAGGATAAAATATTCATAGTAAGTCAGTTCACCAAATCATTTCCCCTAAGTGATGCTGAATAGTAGTTATTTTTCAGCCATATCGGCCAGCAACTTCTTTTCTGCTGGCATCATGTGCCTGCTGTATGGAGCCATAAAAATATTTATAATAGATATGTATATAAAAATACTTTCACTTTCCCCCACCCCCACTGGGGGCTAAAGGAGAGACCCACAGCTTGTCTGGCCATAAATTTTTAAAATCTTTTTTTCCCTGTTGCATGCAATTTATAGCAGCCTCCTTTGTATGAAATGGGAATTTCTGCTGATTTTAGTTTGAAGGATTTTTAACAAAAAAAAAAAACTTTATATCCAACACAATGATTTTTTTTTCCCTTTTCCTTTTTTTTTTTTTTGCTGATTTAAGTTTAAGCAACATCGTTTCGAAATTAATGGCAAAGGTGTTGTACAAAATTTATTTGTTCTATAGTATACACAAAGGTGCCAAAGTACATATAGTTAATTTAAAGGAAACAGACAATTGTTAATGTTAATTTAGCTGTGGTTTTATTTACCTTTATTCATCATTCAGATGCTCATTTTACCTGTCTAACGTGTGCCCCGTTTCTGTGTGTTTAATAACATGTGTTCCTGTCTCGATTTCTCCAAAACGCAAAACATTTGTCTTTCTAATTTTCTTCAAAATAAAATGTTTTTTGGGGGGAGGGTTTTGTGCATTGGAAAAATACCACTTTTACTTTTAGTGACTTCATAGATATATATAGATATATATATATATATTCAAAAGAGCGTCTCCTCCACCTCCCTAAATGTTTAAAACTAAAGAGTCCAGCAGCATTCAAAAATGTAATATACTTTTTTGTATAAACACATTCTTTGGAAAGAATATCTTTGCAACGGGTGGAGGGAGGGAACAGACAGCAGCGGGAGGGGAAAAAAAATAATAATAATCCAGTTTCTTTTAAGAAGCCACTTCAGTAGGCTATTTAAGATTGTGCTTGTTTATTGCATAGAAGTGTTCTATTTACACAGGTCTGCAAAGAGGACATGTCCACATTAATTCCTTCAATGCAAACAAAATACCAAACCCCGAACAATTTTCAAACGCTTCATAAGTAAAAGTGGATGGGTACAGAGAGTCTCTTTGGTAAATAATGTAAATACATGTCCTTTAAAAAGAGTGAGTCTGTTATCTAGGTATTTTGTGTCATTTAATAAATAATAAACAGTTTTGTGTTGCTAAACTCTTCCTTGGTCGTGTGTGGTACGGAGCGAGTTTGTGTGGAGGGTGCATTTTGGCCTCTCGCTTCTCTAGTTGAAGTTGATCTAGTTCCTATTGCCAAGCATCTGAATTTTCACCACGTGATCATGAGGATGCGGCAACGGTCGTAAGTGTGAAAAATGGTCATAAGTTGTTTCTTTTTTCAGTGCCGTTGTCACTTCAAATGGTCAGTAAATGAACTGTTGTAAATTGAGGACTACCTGTAGCGGGCTAGTTAAGTGCTTTAGCAAGTTAGCATTTTGCCTTTGACTACCTTGATGCTTTGTTTTTGTTTTGTTTTTTTACTTCTGCTAAGCCAGCTTATTGGAATCATTTTTTCTGAAAATGAAAACAAGGGATTTGGCATATAGTGCAAAATAGATTGGTGGATTGACTCAAAGTTGGATTGGTTCAAAATAGGTTGGTGGGTTGATTCAAAGTTCCTCTCTCCCAAGATTTGGGTGGGTGGGTGTGTGTAAAAAACTAGATATCTTTCTAATCTGCAGTTCTCAAGTGGCAGAATTAAAAGGTGCAACCTGGCTTGTTTTTCTGTGAACATGTTTTTGTGCAGAACACACTCTGATGAAGTCCATGCCTGGATGAACATGCCAAGCCGTCGTTTCTTTGTTGAATACGTTGCATATTTTATCTACACTGTGTATCTGCAGTTAAAAACCCTGAAGTGTTACGCTTTGTCTCAGCCTCGCTTCCAGACTCTCGCTGCTGTTGAGCCCTACCATTAAGATTCCTGTTCCTCAAGATTTCAGAAGCTACTTGTATTAAGTGTGTTCTGTCAGATAAATACTGGGTCGCTCTCTTTTTGCATCGTAATTTGCTTAATTCTGATGGCATGAATCAGAGATTTGGTGGAGCCAATACCCTAAGTTAAAACTGTGTTGCAATTGAAGAAGGGATGAAAATTAGGCCCTAAGGGGGGGGAAAACACCAACCCAATCAGCCTCCTCTAATTCTTCAGGTGGATCACAGAACGTATAACTGCTTCTCCCACCCCCTCCAGACTTCGTTCATCAATACGAATTCTGCCTACTTGGGAAATACAGTGTTGAGGTCCACTCATTGGAAGGTGCCCCCTTTGGACAGGATGATCTAGAACAGTGGTTCTCAACCTTTTTAATGCCGCGACCCCCAACCGGTTGTAAGTCGAGGACTAAACCGGTCGTAAGTCGAGGACTAAGCCAGTCGTAAGTTGAGGACTACCCAACCGGTCATAAGTCGAGGACTTTCCCTGCCCGGGAGCGCCGCGCATGCGTGGTTCCGCCCCCTGCACCAGCCGAGGCATAGCTGGCAAGCGGCAGAGACGGAGCAGGCCGACCACTAGCTGGCCCAGCCCAAGGGACATAAGGCACCCGCCGGAAAAGGGGGGAAAAAATGGCGGACAGCCTTGCTTGGCGACCCCCGTGAAATGGTCGATCCACCCCAAATGGGGTCGCGACCCATAGGTTGAGAACCGCTGATCTAGAAGAGCCAGTTTGGTCTGTTGGTTGAGGCACCAGGCCATGAGTTCTAGACCCACTTTAGTCATGAAAGCCGGCTAGGTGACTTCAGGCCAATCACCAGGTGACTGGAAGTTCTAGTCCTGCCTTAAGCATGAAAGCCAGCTGGATGATTTGGGCCAATTACCAGAAGACTGTGAGTTCTAGTCCTACCACAGCCATGAAAGCAGGCTAGGTGACTTCAGGCCAATTACCAGGTGATTGGGAGTTCTAGTCCTGCCTTAAAGCATGAAAGCCAACTGGATGATTTGGACCAATTACCAGAAGACTGTGAGTTCTAGTCCCACCATAGCTGTGAAAGCCAGCTGGGTGACTTCAGGCCAATCACCAGGTTATTGGGAGTTAAAGTCCTGCCTTAAGCATGAAAGCCAACTGGATGATTTGGGCCAATTATCAGAAGACTGTGAGTTCTAGTCCTACCACAGCCATGAAAGCCAGCTGGGTGATTTGGACCAATTACCAGAAGACTGTGAGTTCTAGTCCTACCACAGCCATGAAAGCCAGCTGGGTGACTTCAGGCCAATT